TGCCAAGATGGTGCTTTCTTCTCCTTCCCTATATGCTTTCCTATGGTCTCTCTAACATTATTCCAAATAGTAATTCAACTCTGATATCTGTGGGCTTTTTTTTTTTTTTTTTGCAGTTGATGTTGTCTGCTCATCACTCCCAGACCTGTATGTGGAGAAAGTATTGGAGTTCCTGGCCTCTGCACTTGAGATATCTTGTCATTTAGAGTTCTACCTTATTTGGGCTCATAAGTTGCTCATGCTGCATGGACAGAAACTGAAAACAAGGTGAGATCTTGGGAAAGTCAAAAAGCCAACCAGCATTTTAAAATACCTGTCAGTTTGAGGTTTTTATTAAGTTACTGACATTCTAGATAGATGCATATACAACAATTAAAACTACTTAATTTACATTTATTACGTGTACATTTAATATAATTTAAATATTTATTTATAAAATTTACATTTTAATTTAATACAACTTCTTTACTAACAAGTGAGTATGATAGAATTGGAATGCGTAATAGGATTTGTGAGGGTAAATTGCAAAAACATTTTTCAAATACTACAGGTAAAACCGCATAGCTTGCTTGGCCTATAAATGCATGAAGATTTCAAGAGTAATAGGATTTTGGCAGTTGTGATTTTAAACAATTATACGTATTAAATGTCATTGAAAGATAATGTGCAGGTACTGACTGCATTTTGAAGTCTTAGCTTGTAATTACAGCATGCACTTTTAGCTTGTTAGTGTCCTGCTTTCCTACGTAGTTCTTTATAACTACACGTGCCAGCCATATGAATTCTGTTCAGCCAACCCATAGTATTGAGTTTATAAACTTTTGAGAACAAAACCAGGCAAACTTACAATTTAAAATAGGCTGAGAGGCAATCTGAGAGGGAGTCTTGCAGGTTAAAGAAACAGTCCATTGTGTAACTCTTTCCTTGCTTCAACATGGGTATGAATGTTTTAGTTATTGAAATGACTGGAACAAATTTTCTCCTTTTGTTGCTGATAAAGTAGAAAAGGATGATGTAAAACAAACTCTTCCTTGTTCAGAAAGTATTGCAGTAGCTGGAAGGAACTGTCATCATTACAGCAAGCAGAATTAGTTCTTCAAGCTGCAGTGTGACATCAGAGAACAAAATGATTTCTGGCCATAGCATTACTTGTATTGAGTATAATCACTGAGGGCAGAGTCAAAAGCAAAAAGTTTTTGTTTATTTAGCATTATCTTAAACCGTTCATGTTTAAAACTTAACATGGATGCTTGTTAAAATTTTGAGAATGTAGAGAAGTTCTATATTTCCATATGTAAATATGAATTGCATTCAAGTTGCATGTTTTCTCTGTTCAAGGTCAGTGAAGCTGCTCCCTGTGATTCAGTTCCTTCAGAAAAGCATCCAACGCCATTTTGAAGATGTTTCCAAACTGTATGTATCGTTACATTTAAAAGTTTAAATCAAAACCCTACACAAAAGCGTGGAGTAATTTGGGGGGTGATAGTGTGGTATTAGGACTTCGGAGACAGTCGTCTTCTAGAGATGTTTTTATTTTAGGAGAAAAATGGGATCTTGTTTCTAACACGTTGCTGTTTATTTTTCCAGCTGCGAATGGAATATCTACAATATTAAATACGCATTGGCCATTTCACAGCAGCGGGGCATGAAACGTCTGGCAGAAGAAACATCAGTCGATGAAGAAGACAACTTGGATTCTGACAGTGATTATCTTATGCAAGAAGTTCATAAAGACAGTCTTAGTTCCTAGTAACTCTTCGTGGGAGAGAGAAAACCTAAGACAAAGTAATTTTATGCAGTGGTATTCACTGTGAATGAGTGGCCCTCATAGTGGCGTATTCTAACTCTTTTTAACAGTGTGGATGGAGTTAGGCGTGAGTTAGAGAAGTGGGTGAAATGTAGGGTAGACCAAGTGCCATCCCTGGTGTATTTGGTGTACCCTTTGGCCGTAACAGCTTGACAGCACTGATTTCTCAGTTGATTTCTTTTTTTATTCCTGATTTCAAGTAAGACAAAAAAGTGTTCTTACATCAGTGAAGTTAGAAATATGGCTGGAGGACGTGCATTCTTTATTAAAAATGCATTGTACATAGATTAAGTATGGAGAGTTCCTTGTAATGCAGTCTTGCCATACTTCATGAGGGACTCTTTTATTTTTATCCTTTTTTAAGTCATTCTTAACTGGACAGCTACGTATGGCTCTCAACTTATTTAAAATGTTTCTTTTTTAATTGGTTCTAGTATGTACGTGTGACTGGAACACTGTTAGGAATAAGTGGACCCATTTTTCTTACCTCTATAGCTTCCAAACCTGATGATGTTTCAATAATGAGGATTAATGATATACCCATAACAATGAATACAGGGGAAAAAAGTTTACTATGCTACATAACTTCTACAGAGGTTTCATTAATTAATCTGAGATACTGCAGCAAAAAATTGTTTGGAAATTGCCTCTCAATCTAACTTAAACTGCAAGAGAATGTGTTACAAATGTTTCTTTTTCTCATGAAAGCCCTTGTTTTTTTTTAAATTTTTATTAACATGAAAATCTGAAACTTTTGGTACCCTTGCTTTTGTGAGTTGGCATGAGAATTGGCTAATAACAATGAGGTACTGAACACAAAGAACTATATCTGTGTTTGTGATGCTTTCGAGTCACGTGTTGAAAGGGCTTTGTTAATGAGGTTACTGCAAATATTAATAATGAGCCAGAACTGATTTTTTTTTTCAGTGTATTCTGTTCTTTTGGATTTGTTTTCTGGTCTCTTTCCACTCTTGGAAGAGAGGAGAGATATGAATATTAAAAACTGCTGAAATTAAAAACAAAGTCCAAAACATGCAGCAGACACATACAGTCACTTTGTAGAGCTTCAGTATACAAAATAAAGATGCACTTCCCGCTTAAATAAAACATAGCAAAGTGATTTGTTTTGTTTTTCTTAACAGTAAAATGTTCAAAAACATTTTCAGCTGCTGGTGCCCCCTTGCCTCCTAACATTTTCATGGTCATGCCCATGTTTCGGGTTTTCAGAGGGGTGAAGGAGTAGGTGGGTGGGCTGGAATGATGCTCTGTGCTATTGTGGTGGGATTTGGGATTGGCTGTCATTCTCCACCCTTCCGCCATGGGCGGAGGAGGTGGCAGAAAGTAGGCTTTCTACCCGAGGTAGAAGGGAGGCACAGGTGAGCAGGGAAGAAGCAGCGCAGGAAAAAGAAAAATCCCTCTTGGGATCCTAGTAAATGGAAGTGCTTAAGATAATGTGAAAACCAAGATGGTGTTACCCGACTTCTTAATCTATTTTACAGTTTTTCATATACACATAATCTTTGAATGCTTTTTTAAAGACTGTATGAAGACTACATGACCTGTAGCAAGGGAGGCTGTAATTGTTCTGGGACTGTCATGGCAATAGCTTTGTGCTATGTAAAATTTAGAGTTGCGCTGTTCTGTGAAGTCAGCTAACTTGATCCCTAAATTCGTATTTGTCTCTTGGGTTTACAGTGTTACAAAACACAGAATACGGAGGAAATATTCAACCTCTTAGAAGGTTTTGGGTTACTATAGTCATCACATTCAAAACATTTCTGAAGATAAAAGCTTCGCAAAAAAGTACATTTCACAAAGCACTAGAGCCTTGAGGGGAGGCGAGAGGGGCAGTGTTGCACCAGTTCTTGTATGTGGGGTAAGGACGTGCCTTACTTGCCTTAGTCATTTTGCTAGAGCTATAATAAGCCTTTAGGTAATTGAGGCAAATTCTACGATGCATGTGAATGCCAATACAATCTTCCAGTGTGCCCTTCTATCTTTGTAGGAAGAATAATAAAAACTAAGGGGGGGACATACAAGACAAAACAGCTTTTTATCAGGGAAAGAAATTAAGAAATTTACCAGTGATGAAACTTGGCACTATTCAATGTTTCTGTTACCCTTCTCTTTTAAAAGCAACACCCTATTTCACAGGATCCTAGAAAGAAAGAAACGAAGCTACCCCTGCGTGTTGGTTTGTTTACCCTAATTTTATGAACAGCTGTAGCCTCGAGGAGCCTCTCGCCTGCCCTGCTTTGGGTGTGCTCCCCTGCTGCACTGGGGCTGCATGCACTTCATAGAATCATAGAATCGTTTAGGTTGGAAAAGACCTTTAAGATCATCAAGTCCAACCATTAACCTAACGCTGCCATCCCATCACTAAACCATGGCCCTAAGCACCTCGTCTGCCCGTCTTTTAAACACCTCCAGGGATGGGGACTGCACCACTTCCCTGGGCAGCCTGTTCCAATGCTTGACAACCCTTCTGGTGAAGAAATTTTTCCTGATGTCCAAGCTAAACCTCCAAGTCCACATGCTTTGCCCCCACTGGACTGCTGACTGCCTCCACCCGTGTCAGTAGGGCGGAGAGGTTAACTGGCAGGCGGCAGATCAAGCACCTGACCTCCCAGCTCCCACCTCTCGCTTGCAAGAGGAACCTGGCGCTGCTCGGCTTGCGTTCAAAACAAGTCCCGGGGATTTATTTCCGTGCAGGTTTTGCATTTTTTACTACTACCGCTATTGCTAAAGGAGGCCAGGGAAGGGCCTGCAGGCCCCAGCGCGGGCGGGCGCTGCCCCTCCCCGCCTCCA